TGGAATAGGGGTTATATATATATATATATATATATATATATATATATATATATATTATATATATATATATATTTATAGCTACTGCTTTTAGCGAAATTTCTTCTGAATATAGCAACTTTTTAGCTACTTTTGCAGATGTTTCTAACGACATTTGAAAGTGAGAGATGGCATCCATGGATATTCTGCTGTTATCAATAATAACGCGAACTCGAATTCTATTTCCTTTTGAATTACAAACATATACCATTGTAGTCGTTAAAAATACAGTTTTTCTCCTTGTCAATAGGCAACTTGATAAATTCTGTTTATAATTCTGCATTTTTGTTTATAATTGCATCACAGGAAGTTTCCGTTCTTGTTTTTTCTAACTGTTCATCGATAACGCTGTTGCTGAGTAAGCGATGATTATTATGTTTGCAATAATTAAAAATTGGCGGCATAACACTTTCAGTTTACTGATATTGCTTTGCGTTTGCCGGTTTGTTCTTGCTTTTTGTGAAGTTCCTTTTTGAGTGATATGGAAATGTGAAGCTTTCTGTACAAGAAGGTAAGATTTTTGTACTTTTCATATAATTTTGCGATGTGAACGAAATATGCGTATCAGTGAGATGTTAATAGTGTTTTAATTGTTACTCATAATCAGGGGCGTAGCCTGCATTTCCATAAATGCATGTTGCTGAACACCAAATGTTTCGAAAATTATATTAAAAAATGAAGATTTGAACTACATGTATTAAATTACATGAAAGTTGAATATTGGTTTTAAGGTCTGACTTAAGTTTTTTCTTTCTAAATTTATATTAGTGGTCCGTCAAATATAAAATTATATACGTAGTGACCCGTGATGTTCTAATGGTTGACGACTGCTGATCTAGAGCAAGCATGCAGATAGCAGGATGTTAACAAAATATAAACCGTGCATTTGAAATGAGTTTTCACGGGTAAGACGCATTGCTCCTTAATGAAGAATCTAAACTTAAATACAAGAAATACTGTATTAATCTGTACTGTATTGGGCTCAATGCTTCGCAGCTGAAAATCTGCGATTTTGATTCGCAGCTGAAAATCTGCGATAAATGTAATTTTTTGGGGTGACACCCTATATTATTGATTTGCAAATGCCGAAACTTACAAGTTAATTAAATGTAATGAAGCTATACTTCGCACCGATGTCTATAACCATTTGCTTAAGCACTTGTGACTTTGCATCAAACAGCAGGTATCAGCAAATATTACATTTACAGTACAACAAACGAGAAATTTATTTTTTGGTACAATTTCAAATTTGTATAATTTTGTGCTTAATATATAAATTATGAGCATACTATATAAACTTCTGTCACCAATAACTAGATGTTTGAAAGAAATTTAAATTAATAATCTGTGTATACATTTTGTAAAAATTCCGTAAATTGCGCTCAAATATAAACACAGCATTTTTCAAGTATATGTTATTTATAAATTGACGTTCTGGGCTGCTGTGCTTTATCAAAATCCTTATGCTGGACATTATAAATATAGAACAAGTTATTTTGATTTATAAAATAGCTTATTTTGTACTTATAAGCTAGTGTTTATGATATAAACTTTTAATGAAAGAAATTATGAAAGAAAATAAAAGAAAAACTTTTTCAGGTTAACTGGGCATATATAAAGTGAAAATAATTCCTACAGTGCATTCAAGCTTTTCAGATAATTAATTATAATCCCAGAATTTTACTTGCATATGCTTATTTCTAAATAATGTATATTGTTTGATTCGTATTCTGCTTTAATTTTCATCTGCTATTGAAATGTCTAATTTGTCTCATTTTACCAGATTGTGTATTCCCTTTCATAGTATATACAATTTTTCTTAGATTAAAACCTTTTCTCGAATCTTCCAATGGATGTTGAAACTGAAGTAAAAAACTGTAATTTGTATGAAATTTTCGTGGCTATATTTGTTAAACAATACATCGTATTCATTCTATAGTTTAAAGTGAGGTGATTGCTTGAGTTGATACTGTTGATTGAATTTCACTTCTGTGTTCGTATAAAGAAAACACACAAAATAGTTTTTTTTTAATTATTAATTATTTTTTTTATAAAATAAGCTTTTACTTTTATTTCATAAAATAATTAATGAACTAAAAGTAGGGAAAGAGTTTATTATGTAGTTTAACGGTAGCAAGAGAGCCAATAATTTTCTTTACAAAATCCCTCTACTATTTTATACTACGAATAACAAAATCATAGCGCGGTTTTAATAAATTTATGAACATAATAGCTTATAATTTTGAAAATGCAATTCGATTATTAGACTTAGGTATTCAGGCGCCCACGCTTGTATTATTCGTGATAAAAAATTGTAGGTCAATTTTGTAAATAGAATTATTTTACCTCCCATCGCCCCCTTCCATTGAACTATATGATAATTATTTTTCTTTCATTTCATTAATTCTTTTGTGAGATTTAAATAAAAGCTTATTTTATACAATGAATAATAACCCTTCCACTTCCAAGCAGTTGTTTGCGCTAATTGATCGCAAAAGTCCAGTGAGTTGGCCGAAAAGTCAAAAATTAAGTAAAAAAATTCATATTAACACTTTATTTAAGAGATTGTTTAAACGCTATTCGATAGTGCAAACAATGAAACTCTTAGATTATTGATTTTTTTTTTGTTTTTTGTTTTGTTAAACAAAGATTTGTATGAAATCCCCTTTCACTATTAAAATATATTCATAAATCGAATTTCTTAAAGTTCGCTTCACTACACTGCATTGTCATTCACATAAAATGTATGCACAAACATGAAATCGAGAGCTTATCAAGAAGTAGTTTAAATTTCGATAACAAATTTTAGATTCTAGAAACAAACACAATTCGTGAATTGAATAAAAGGTTTTAATAAAACGTAAATAAACAGGTCAATCTAATGGAATACTTGACGTTATTTGTTTCTCGACCGAAATTTGGAATGGTCCGAACGACCTAAGGCGGCTTCTCTTCATATTTGTGACTGAAAAGCTTTGCGTGCTGCATGGTAGAATGCATTCACTATGTCAACAAATCTAAGCAGTGTCAATAATCATTTCTTTTTCAAACATCATGGCCTGACCCAAAAACTTCACGACAGTCTTCAGATATCAACCCAATGAGTGAAACATTTGACATTGTTTGCAGCTCCTCCTATATTTTTGCGAACCTCCTCAAACAAAAGAGTATCATGGCAAGCAAGCAATGCCATATATAAAAGAAAATTACTAATAATATAACTAACAGTGACTTACTTCATTAGAAATAATTATATATATATTAATTAAAATCTCATTAGTTATAAGTATTAAATGCTATTGTAAATTTACTGATCATTTTGGAAAATCCAGAAGCATATTCAAATAGAAATACAGTATTTGTTTCTTTTATTCTGTTTTTTATAAAACGTTAAAGCTTTGAATGTATTTCTTATAAGCTATATAAGAATTTGTTTCTTGTCTCAGATACATTAATTTGAGGACTACATATATGATAATGAAATTCTGTGCGCCTGACATCAGATTAAGCCTAGAAAATGTGTACGTAAAATTAATCTAGTAAACAAAATTAGCAAATGGTTGGCTAGTATCATGAATTCATTGTTAAGCACTTTAGTATTTCTATTGCCACATAAATCGTTTATACATAGCTTACCTTAGCTTTTAAACTGGATTAAGAGCACGTCTAAAGATAAATAGCAAGAGGATTCTTTCACGCCTGAAACACACGCATGCATGAGCTCGAAGATCTGTGCATATCTGCCTTTTATCAAGTGCAGTAATAACTACAGTCTACAACTTTAAATTAGGTACTTCAAGGTGTTTTTACTTTGCGCGTTTTCATTATTACATTATTATTTATTTTCTCCACCTGATTAGAGACAATAGTCAGTCTTTCATCATGCGCTTTTCACGAAGTGAAACACGCTAAACGTAAATGAAAGGGAAATATTAATTATGAGATTCGATCGCCTTTCGAAACTGTCGTTACTATGGTTACGAATGAAAGCCGGGAGTTAGTGTCACTGAAGTGCCTACTATAAAGTAAATGACTATAGTTAAGGAAATTAAAATTGCAACTGTAACAATAACATGCGTTACAGGAATATTAATAAAGTATTTAATTCTACTAAATACCAATTTTTAGTACAAAATTATGTTGAGTAAAACCTTAAACTTGCATTTTAATAGATAATTGATTTGACGTTATTTATATTTAAAAAATTCAACACATAGGTATTTGTTTTAAAAAAGGATAGTTAGTTTCATTTAAAACATTCTAGGATAAGTTGTCACATATTCAGGTAAAAAAAAAAAAAAAAAAAAAAAAAAAAAAAAAACCTCATATAACTAGAAGAATAGCCAGGCGAACAGTTGTTGTCTTTCTAAACTACTCAGCTACAGATAGATCCCTATTAAAATCCTCTGAATCTTTTTAAAATATACGGCCTAAAATATTTTTGTGACATTTCAGAATAGATATATAGTGCATCTTCAAATATATTCAAGAAATTAACGCAATATATTAAAAGGTGCATAAATCCAGATACAATGTGCAAGGGGCATTTTAGCTTTAAAATCGAGAAACTATCTCTTTCTCATGGTAGATATGGGAAATTTGGGATCTCATAGCAAACTCTGAGCCAGTCAGAGGGGTTAATAGACGTGAAACGCTTATATCTTATCCATATGCATCAGCTTTTCAAATGTATTGATCTAAAATCTGGCATGTATGGGCACAAATATTGTGATGATGTATTTGCCAAACATATATGTATATACGTGGGTATATAATTGACAAATCGTCTCTTATCGTTAATAGCACGGAGAGTAGATGATCCAACAGGTGCCATTATGTTTTACATAAAGCAGAAAACATATTAACTTTATGTCATCTACAAAGTTATATGTCTTTATGTCATAAAACTTTTATGTCATCTAAAATTTTTTTGCTCCTTTCAGAAATAGCATTTACAAATTATGTAACAAAGATTATTAACTGCGAAACTCAGTTCTTCAGAAAAATATAAGTAATCCCAAAGGAAAAGCCGTCAAACATAATGAGCTAGTTCATCAGTTTGGGAGTGTATGTAGCCATGCATATAAATGTGTACGTTTTCTTTTCCTTAGTTCCACCACAAGCTGTCATGATCATGGATGAAAGAGGTCAGAAACTGAAGAGATTAGCAGGCCCGTATGATGAAGGAGCCTATCTGTCTTTAGTCTGCGAAGCTGAAGGAGGTAATGATAAATTATGCTCACATGTAATTCCAGTTCTATTGCTATTAATATATTCTTCTTGCGTAGACTAGTTGTAATGCTCGACTGAAAAAACAGAGCTAACAAAATGTTTTTTCATCCAAATTTTGTCAAAACAATTTAAACCTCTGAAGTAGAAGGTAATATACTGTGCTGCATTTTGCATTCGCATATTCCATTATTGTGGAAAATTTAAATCTATTTCATAAAAACTTGTCAAAAACTTTATTTTTATTTATTTATTTATTTTTATTTTCAAAGTAAATTCTGTTAGTTGTTGTGCCTTTGAAGCTGTTAAAATGTTTTCTTCAAGAAGATAAGAAAGGTTTTGTAGAAAAAAATTGTGTAAGAATTTATTTCGGGTTTACTAGTATACACCAAGAAAATATTATTCCAAATTATTCTTATGTCAAGATACTCTTGATAGTAGCATAAAATATTATTTTCCAGCGAATTACGTACGAAAATAACGAATTCAGTTCATGCACCATCTGGTATTGGAGGGGAATATTCAGTTTTAGCCGTAACTTGCACATAGGCAAGGGAAACAGTGCTCCATGCTTAGGAGGCCCCCGAGTGAAGAGAAAAAAACTATTCTTTCTTTATTGTATTGGCCCCCAACCATATTTTAGATTTCCGCCAAAATTTTAGCTACAATTTCGCGAAGTTCGTGAAGCGAAAATGTAAAAGTATAGAACACAATATATATTAATAACAATGATACTCGAAAATGTCGTTTCCTATCAAGAATCCTTATCCTTATCATCATTATTATTATTTTGTCACGCGTAATTGCTTAGTCAACTGCAGCACTTTCACACAATTTATAATTACAATAAAATTTATTTCTAAATAAATAAAATTTCGAATACATCGATTGTTAATCCTGCTACCAAATGGCAGGCCGGTTTAGATGTAACGCTTCTCGACGAAGCTACAGGTTGCCAAAGGTATGTAACCTCCTTGCCAAAGATGGAGAAGGACGCGCTAGCAAGTGCATTCTGGTAGAATCCTGCAAACATTAGGAAATTAGGTATAAAAATGCGATTCAGAGGCCAAGAGGGCAGTTTTTTTTTTTTTTTTTTTTTGCAAGAGATTAGGTTAGCAATTATCTCGAGAGATGGGCTTCCCTGAATCTACCCGCTTGTGTCGTTGCGAAACGTTATGGGATAAAATGCCTTGCCAGTTTTATCTTTGCTTTCAGTTGATGAAAATAGAGCCCAAGAATTAACATTGAACAGTAATAATAATAATATTAAATCTGAAAGCTTTCATATTTTATATTATGCCCAAAGGGATGTTTTTTAACATTTTGTGTGTTAAATTTATTTATTAAATATTATGTTCTTCGCACTTAAAACATAAAATTCTATTCCACAACAGTATTACAAAATATTCAAACAGAACATATCTTTAGAATTTCTAATGCACAGTCTCGCGCGCTGGAGATAAAAATACTTCTTTTTCCATACAGTGTTGCCGTTGATCGCTTTGAAATCATTTAGTCTGTTAATCAAAAATTCGTTGAAGTGTTACAAAATATGAAATAGATAATAACACAAATTTCAAATTCAAATTAGGGCTTTCACATTTCCATATTCTATGGAAGATTATGTTATTCAAATTTTGATGGCTATAGTACCGTTGTTTTTTCACAATGCGAGAAACATACATATACACATTCAACAGATTCTTCATTATATAATTTATTTATATATAATGCAAGGCTCTAATATTTGGTGGTAACAGTTTGAAAAGTGAAACACCGTTTTATAGTGAGCGACGAAAAATGCCCAAAAGAAAGTAATAGCGTTTCTGAGCGAATTGCCTCTTTGGATAATTATTATTATAATTATTTCATTATTTTAGCAGTTAGAAAACGGATATTTAAGAAAGGTTTTACGTTTGAGAGAAAAATAAGGAAAAGAGGGGGTTCCTTATTATAATCTGTTACCCAAGGGCCGTCAAGCCTCCAGTTACAACCCTGGCAGGGTTACATGTCTCAAAAGTTGGAATTATATTTTAAACCAGCATAACAACAGTAGTAAAAAACAACAACACATTTTTCGAAAACATCAAATATCAGTCTAAATTTGAATTTTCTTTAAATTTGATATTGCAGTTTTTCATGATTTTACTCTCCGTCATATGGCAGCAATTGGGGAGAGTATATTTGTTTATCTTATAATCATGCATTGTACTCCTCGTGAAGCATTTGCATTATGAATATTCATTAAATGCTCGATAATGAACATTTAATTTGCTGTAACGTAAGTAATTCGTTGATATTAATATATTTAATCTTAACTTATTCTTTTGCAAGCCCTTATAATGAGAATAATTCATCAGCGTATTTAATGTAATTAAATACGTTATTTTATTCCAGTGCGAATTATAAATTTATGTATTTCTTTATCAGAGATCATTGGTATAAAGAAACATTTATTTATCTTCAGAGGTGATCAGAAGTTATTCAGAAAGCTATTAAAGGTGAAAGATATAAATTTGTGTTAATGCTACAACCATTATTACATAAATATTCAGTGTAGTTTAGTAATTTACATCGGACATAAAAGTAATCTTGAAACTTAAATACAAAGACTTCAGTAGAAATACACTAAAATTAATTTAAAGGGAACAGAAGAATTAAGTTAATGCCATTTTCAGGAGCTTACTACTGAAACACCTAGAATGTTTTGTAAATATCTATGTAAATAAATTTAACAAATTAGCATGCAAATTATTGCTTATATTAATGATGAAAACTATTTTAATGCAAAAATATGCAGAAACCTAATTAAAACTAAATAAGCCTTAATCCTTAACCATATTTTCTGACTTGCAATATGTTGCGTATTTTGTCGTAAAATTATATGAATCTAGTAGATATAATAAGATGAATTATATCAGCTTAAAATTAGTAGCAAAATTTAACTTTTTATATTTAGTATCATTCTATTTTTCTTTGTTTTCCGTATGAATTGATTGAATTTCTATGAAACTTTTTATAGTAATATTTTTCTTGTGTTGGTATTTCAACTATAAAAACTGCTTAATATGTACAAGCACAATTAACGGTTTTATTATTGTACAATTACTGCATAGCCGTAATTCCCATTGGTCGGGAGACAATTTTTATTGAAATGCGAAAACTTTGGAGTAGCATTTTGTTCTGTAAACTTTTATGTAGTTATGTATAAATGCATGTAATTATACTTACAAATAAATGCATATGCATTAAATAACAATTCACTGCAGGTTAATTCATAATTGTAAACAGATATATCTGTTTATTTATTATTACTTCAGAACTATTTTTTATCTCCTTTTCAAAGAAACTAGGCAGTTTAGGTTACAATGTTAAGATTTTTATAAGCTACTGATATGCATTATGCTCGAAATTAAATTAAGAACCTAAATCAATTGGAAGATAATTTTGATTTAATTATAAAGATATTTAATGTTATTTTCAATAAAACATTATCAACCGTTAAATCGAGATTTCAGCTGTATATTATTTATTTAATACATAATAAGTGCTTGGAATACCAAATTGTATGCTTCGATTTTATCTAAGTTAAAATATGATTTTCATTTTTTAAATAAATAACGAATTCCGATTGCATATAATTTAGAATAATTGCAATCATAAATGTACTGTGCTGGTGGGGACGACATAAGTAGATCGGAAAACCGATGTAAGGAAACTTATTTCGTATACAAGATTTCTAGGAGGGTAGTTTTGGTTATGACTTTCGTGTCTGGAGTAAAACGCAGGGCATCGAGTAATCAAGAAAGAAATGAAGTGGTAAAAATGCTGGATAGTTTGGGGAAAATTCGAATTTGGACAAATCAAATTTTGAAAAAATTCGAATTACTCAAAACATTTCAATCAAAACCTTCCTAGCAGAAAACATTTAATTCGACTCATCAGAGTTCAGTTCACATGAAACAGTTTTATCAGAGACAAGTTCACAAAAGGAAAATATATTGCCTTTCAAAAACTTTCCCCCTAGTAGAAGGCCTCAAGTTTTATTCTATAATTTTTGCATTGATTTCTAGTTTTACTTCTGATAGTGTCATGTATCGTACATAATGATGGTTCTGGCTTTCCAGGAAATCCTGCTCCTATTGTCACTTGGTGGAGAGAAGGTGCCCTCTTGGATGATACATATTTCCGGACATCGCAAGGCTTGGTCAGAAACGAGCTAGTTATTATGGAGCTAAAGCGTTCGGATTTCATGGTGGAGCTCACCTGTAAAGCATCCAACACAAACCTAACAGAACCTATTAATGCATCCATTAGAATTGATTTGAACAGTAAGTCAATTTACGTATACTATATCTTTACTTATTAATTTAAAAATAGTGAAAAGGTCCTTCTTGTAAGGTCGCATAAAAATCAAAATCTTCATGCAAGGTAAAAGAAAATCTTTTGTTTCAATTATATTTCCAAGAGTCCAAAAACTCTTCGAATGGGCCTAGTTCCAATTTACAATTCAGTTCTAATAAATTGGAAAATTCGCGAGAAAAAGAATTATATACGTAAAAATGTAAAACTAAAGGTTTCTAAATTACGAGAAGCGTTGGTGAATATGTTATAAACAATTCTCGATTTTATTAACTTATAGTTTTTCGCTTTATTTAGCTAATTCGCATTTCGGTTGTTAACGTTTACCTATTGTTGTACCTCTCATCATACAGCGAGGATAAGTCTGGCAACAGCTTCAGGAAGAAAAACTTGGCAGTGCTGGAATGGCAACAGCGGATGATATTCTATAGATTTTAATATTTTGATTTTGAGTCGATGTTTCCTTTGCAATACTATTGCGTTAAAACATTTGAGTTTTGAGTGAATGAAATGAATCCGCTGTCCCGCTGCGGATATTAGGAAAATATATTTAGAAAATTAGCTGCGTCGGAAGGGATGAAACCTTATGTTTGAATTTGCGGTATTTTTCCCCCTAAAAATGCGTCGAGTTCAGAATATTATGCCAGGCTTATTCACGCTGGTGCAGATAAGTTCAAATTTTGTTTATTGTGTTTATAGTGTATAACTTGCAAATATATGAATACAATTCTATTAAATAAACATTTTAAATTCTGGAATGGTGTTTTAAAATTTTAGATTTTGCTCCACGACATAACACCTATATTTACACCGCATGCTACGTAAAAGTGTAGTATGTTGCATTAAGCAATAGCAAAATTTTCTTTTAATTTAGCGATTTTCTTTTTTAAATACACTAATCACCAAACAATGTTCATAAGAAACGCAAAATTCGAAATTTTAAGTTGTTCTGACGTACTCCTATCAAACATAATGTTAAAAGTTATAGAATCTAATGAGTCAATGTCATTTTTTATTTTCGTATAACTTCTGCGTATGTTCTAAAAATGTTAAAAGTATGTAAGATGGTACATTTAGGTTAATCTCTTTTATTCTCCGTAACAATTTTCGATCACCATAACATGTTAGGTGATTTTGCTAAATGCTGTACCAAAACTTTCAGATAAATGAACTTGGGTACTTTTCGAGAAAATATAAACGCAATTACGCACAGTTAAAAAGATACATAACATAAAAGTAAAAACAAAACGGAAAAACGCCTCATATAGTATATAGTATTAATTGTAATTCAAGTAACTTCGTGTTTAAATGTGTATTCGATAATTTCAAATACGAAATGTACCCTTAAGGAAAGAAATCCTATTCCATTAAATGCATTATTTCCTTATAATTAGGATTATCACAACTTCATTAAAAAAATAATTATATGCGTAATAATACGCAAAAACAAGCGAAATTCTTAGAGACATAGATAAAGAGTTAATTATTTTAATATTCGTGCAATTAGAAGCCTAGCAGAGCAAAATAATTAAAGAGTTGTAATTATTGTACGAATGGTAGATACACACACGCAAATGTATTTGCTAACAAATAAATTATATTTCTATATTAACGATGCAGATTGCTTCTGCAAATTATGTGATTTGTTTGCTGTCATTGGAAATCACATGTATCGCATTAACGTCTAGTACCATCTTTAAATAAAATAGTTTGTATTTAATAAGTATTCAAAGAAAGTACATTTTGATTTTTATAACTGTTTCTAATGAATTAACTAGAGCAGAGGTTCTCAACTGGCGGTACGCAAGAGAAAAATATGTGGTACGCAAAGAAGCAAAGTATTTTTAACTATTAAATTTAAAAATTAAAACCGCAACATCCTGACTGAATTTTCTTCTAACACTCGTAAATTTATGCGATCTGAGCTTTGTTCAAGAGTGGTGGTGGCAGTAGTACTTTGTAGTGGTGGTACTAAAGGTTTTCAATTTTTGTTTAGATGATACGCGTTAGTCAAAAGGTTGAGAACCCCTGAACTAGAATATATTGTGATCGCATTTATCATTGGGATCGAAAGTTAATTAATTTTGTATATACTGTAATTATTTTTATTATTTAAAGCAAATTATTATTTCATAATTTCTTTTTAATTACGACAGTTAATTAATTGATTACCGATAAATGAATTTTTTTTAAATTTTAAACATTTTTAAGTTTTAAGTGACAATGAATTAAGTTTCATGCCCCCTTTCAGAAGAATAATCCGCCCCTGGCACACGCTTATATATTTAGGTCATTTTTATAAAATATACTAATCTGCCGTTTAGAGATGAATAAATAGAAGTGTCGCTACACAGCCGTCATGCAAATAGCGTCAGGGAACTGAGTTAGCGGGCAAACGTACCTCTTGAGCAAATGGCACCGGACAGCTGAGTTATCGGGCAAACATCATGAAGTAATTATTAAGTAAGTATATTAAAATCTTGCTAGGGCGTTGACCGTACTTCTATAAACAAAATATGAAAGTGTCATTATTTCCGCCTAGTGCAAAATAAGTTTTGCTTTTTTTTTTCGGTACATTTCTTTCCTGCAACAGCCCACCAGCAGTTGAGCGGAAAAATCCCTGAACACTCATAGTTTCGACCTAGTTTCGAATCCAGGCGAACAGGCAGGCTGCATGGGCGTTTTTGTGATTTTCGCCATGTATATACGAGCAGGTTACTATGTATATGAGCAGGTTTCCCTTAGAAAATAATTTACGAAGGCATCCCTCCCCCTAGGCAAATAGCCCTAACGAGCGTTGCCATAATAAAACTAAAGTCAAACTTTCCTGCAACAACTAAAACTCTAGTGTAATTTTTGGAAAGAGAAGAAAGTAAAAGTCGACAGCATGGCAGAATTAATAATGGAAGATTTAATGAAAGGAGCAACGACATTTTGTTTTTCCTTTCACAAATAAAACATGGTCGGTAGCCATTGTACATGGTCTCAATCGTGAGTATTCTTATGCATTTAGTACCTTATGCAGGTTAGGTTAGATTATTTGAATATTTCAAAGGAAAAGAGGGTTATCTGCCTAAAGGAAGGAATGCCTTTCGTAGAGGAGTTTCTATGGGAAACTAGTTTAGATTTCCGTTACACATGGAAAACCACAAAAAACAACAAACATGCAGCCAGCCGGTTTTCTTAGCTTCAAACATGGTTGAAATGCTAGTATTCAGAGATCTCAACTACTCGGCCAGTAGTGGGGTGTACTTTGTGCAGATTTAAAACTTTGGTACGCTCAAAAATGACTGAAGATTGTATAGATCGAAAGGTAATTCAGCAAAGAAGAATCAAAATAGAAAAGGATCTTTTAGACATATCCAATCCAAATAAGAAGAAAAATTGTTATAGCACAAGTTAAAGGCTAAATTAGCTTGCGAAGAACAAAATGGTCAAGCATCTTTGTTTTCAAGCATCTTTGTTTTTAATCAAGCTTCAAAAATCTGCTTACGTTCATGAATTCAATTCCATTGCTTATTTGCTCATTCGTCAGATTACTACAAAGCACAGGACAAGGTTCCTCTGCTTAAAAAGAGGCATCCATCCGTAGAGTAATTTTTAAGGAAATTTTGTTTTTTACACACGTTACACATGAGTAAAAGAAGAAAACGTTCATGACACTGTAACCCTTCGCTGGCGCATCATCATCGAAACATTATGCCGCATCATCAGTGCACAGCAATTTTATCCTTCGGCTACTACTGGGCGTATTCGAATCCATTCTCAGTTTTAGCTTTTCAATTTATGGAGTATGCACCCCTTGGCTTGGATCCTAGGCATGGCTGGGAGATGAGGTAAATACTTCTTTGCTCCGAAATAAATAAACATCTGAACACCTTATCGGAGCCTCTAGATTAACTTTCCTAACAACAGATTCAGAATCCTGAGCATGAATATGTGCCCTCACAGGGGTATTTAATCGAAAGCTATTTTGTATCTCCGTTAATAATAATACTATGCGAAATACGCGTAAACAAATGTATTGTTGAATTTTGTACACAGTATAAATTAGCGAAAGTTAAATGCATGAAAAACGTAATGTTTATAGATATAATAGTCACCGAAGTAAGAAAATAGCAGTTTTGCAGTTTTTTGGACGTTGTTTAGTTAATTTTGCAATAAAAATACATGAGTAGTTTTTCTGTCTTTGAGGCTTCGTTGAGGTTTTCAAAGGAAAATTTCCAGTACTTAGGTTATGCATAGAGAATAAAACGGAAATAGTCATTGGGTTAGCCCATTTATTGGATTTCGAATACGCACAGAACTATCAGATTCAACCCGAGTTGGAAAACTCACTGGTGGTATGTACTTTTTCACTGCGTTATAGTATTTATTAAATTTATTTAAAATGCATATTTTTACAACCGCCCGCCAATTGATTCTAACATTTAATTGAACAATTAAAACGTATATTGCATGAAGTTCAGAATGTGTGGAGTAAAACATTTTCAAAAAACTATAATTATTCTAATTTGGGCGATCTAGTTTATAAATGATGTTTTTTCGAGGAGATATTGTATTCCAAGCCGCAGAATATGCATTTTGCTTTGAATTAATATAATTTTAATATTAAAAGAAAAGGTCACTTAAGTACATTAAAGGTATAATAAGATATATTCGAAATCAGTTACTAAACTAAAATTCCTTAATAATTTTTATCATCATTTATTTGTATCTAAAGAAGCCTTTAGGCAGTAAAGTATGTTGTACATGTTGATGTCTTCTGTTTCAAACATCCTAAACTTTGTTTTATTTTCAAGTGAAACCTTTATACGTACGCATCACTACATCCCAAAAGGCCCTAAAGGTGGGTGACAGCTTGAGACTCGATTGCGAAACATCTGGATCTCGCCCTGCAGCGAAAATTGTCTGGTGGATGGACAATAAGATCCTTCAGAATGAGAAACAGTCTTTTTTCACAAATAGAAACGTCACCTACAGCAGCATTAACCTCAGCCCAGGAGTCGACGACAACGGTAAAGTAGTCATTTGCAAAGCAGAAAACCCGGCACTGCCGCACAGCGATATGCAGGATTCTTGGTACCTCAACATACACTGTAAGTACGAATTTCAAATTCGTTCTATCACATCCAGCGCGCATGATATTAAATTCTTCCATCTGTTTATGGGGGTTATCTGCAAAGGAATACGTAACGGCGGAATTTTTTCCGGAAAGAGGGGGGAAGATTTTGGCACTGGAATGAATCTGTGCCTGGATATAGTATAAAAATGGCTAAAATCCATAAGCGGGTCAAGTTGGCGCCAAGCTATTTTGGCCTTCAAAATTTGGCGAATTTAAAATGAGATGATAAAATACTAGATGAATAAAACAAAGTCCAACAGCTTTGCAAGTAAAAGCATGGTCCTATATATATGTAATTCATCATAAAATAGTAGAATGAACAATTCTTGTAAGTAATTGTTGAGTAAATAAATGTACACACTTATCAGATCAAAGCACTGCGAAGTCAGTTTTAAACGTAAACAGAATAGCAAGTTATGCGTATTAAGCATCATGAAACTAACTAAAATATTCAAGTTACTATCGTCGTGGAATTCAACACACTAAACAACTTTCGTTCTTTAATAAGCTTTAAATATTCCACATCTTTCGATTGCCACATGCAAGAAACAAAACTAAAAAAATAACTAAATAAAATTAAATGAAAAATTCATAAATTATAAACTTCATGCCATATGAAATTCAACATTCTCCCACCAAACACAGCTTGACCTTCTGCAAATATTTATATAAATATCATATTAAACATATATATAACAATAATATTAAACAGCAAAACTTTTAAAAACAAACACAGTATTTCAAAATTAAATTTAAAAAAAATCTGGCTACGCTAAATTCGCGATCTTACAGTTACCGAAATAAAGCTCTAGGTCTGCCACAAGAAAACATACAGCCGAAACCACAACCAAATTAAAATCGCGCCAAATAAATAACTCTCGCCAAGCTTGGCGCTCACCCCGATTATGTAAAAATCTTACTGTTTGTTAACTTTGTGTATACACTGCGCATAATTATATTGGAACAAACTGTTTACTGATAAATAAATATAAATTTAAACTAACATTTATAATCATATTTTATATTTATATTTTTTGAGTATATTAAAATTATAGTTTTCTTAATCTTCCATTTAGAATGTTGCATGGTTTATATTGATACTAGATTTCGTATTTTTGTAAAGACCATTATTTTCTGAGATATTTTATCTCACGATAAATTATGTGTATATGTACAGAGATCAGTAATGTCGATACTTTTAGTTTTAGGAAGGAGAAAAATAGCAGATATTTTTATGCATATAAAAATGCAGTTAATATTTAAACGACAATACATACATAAAATTTTTTTGAATTATCAGGTTTACAGATTATACATATGCGATGATTAAGGTGTAAAGATAATCATTTCATCAAAGAAAAAATGCTAAAATTCGTAGAAAAATTGCAAGATAAATCATGATTTTTGTTGATTGGAATTTATACTATAGTCTAGAATTTATATTAAAAAGAAATTGTAAGCTCGGGGAATTCCCATTAACATTTCCTGCCTGTAAGAAAAAAAAAAGATAGCAAATAATAACTTAAGTAATCGATACTTGACTAAATAAGAATTATTTTATATATTTTAAATCAATAAAATTCAAACTTTAATTAGCTTTAAAGTTGAGCAGTCTCCATTTATCACTTTGTTTCGCAGTTTAAAATGCTAATGTCAAAGTAATCAATATGATTTTTATAGGTGATACTTTTGCTCAGATTTAAACATTTAGAATAGATATTGGCATTTTTGGTTAATCCATAACTGTTAACGATTTTTATATCATCTAAATACCTAAAAGTAAGATTAACCCTTTTGGCTTATTCACCGTTTTGAATGAAAGCTAATTTGTGTACAAAAATAAAGGGATTATATATTGCAGTGGAAAATTTCTATCTGGTGTCCAACATAATTGTTGGTAGATTTTATATTTAAATTTATAATAGTTAAATGAAAAGCAATTAATTGAAATAAATAATACATTTGTTTAAGCTGATGCTGTTGTTAAATTCAGGGAAGTTACCATAAAGTAAAATTGGATTATTCTTAGTTTTATTTAAAGGAAGAGAGGCATGACTCATTTCAAAATCATAGCTGTTTCAAAATGATATTATTTCAATAGTTTTTTAAACATTTATGTTATTGTTATAAATTTATTATTTTAAATATTATATATTCAGTTGTTGTTTGTTATTGTTATTGGAAAAGAGCTTACCTATTTCTTAATTTTTTTAAGTAAAATCAGCGTTATTTTTGTGGTTACAGGGAAAAACGTCTGGGAGAAATCCTAGTCGCATAAAATATCGTGGAAGAAAAGAAAGAAAGGCAAATATATATATTAAAAAAAGGTTCAAAATCATTCGAGGTACAAAACGTCGTCGTAAAAAGTAAAGGAATTACAAAACTTCTCAGTTTTAAAACATCATCGTAAAAAATATCGCGGTAAAAATAATGCATCTAAAAATTATCGCATGATGATAATATCCCCAGATATGCATTTTCAGACTTTAAATACATTAAATGTATGTTCGCATAATGATCTATGAGTGCAAAATTAAATGAGGAATTGTTTTGCCCCTGTATATTTTTGTATTTTACATATTTTTGTATTAACTAATGTGTTTTTGCTGGAAAAGGAAATCTAAACTTAAGGAATCAAAAATTTAAGAGAAGTAGAAAACTAATGCTCCGTATAACGTAACATAACAAATTTTAAACATATGTAGTTGACTAGTAAATGTCATTATTTAATTGATCTCTTTTATGAAGTTGGTTTAATAATAACCTCTTTCATAAATGGTATTGGCCCACCAGCGGCCGAGCGGTAAAGTCGCTGAATGCTGGTAGTTCGGTCCGAGGTTTGAATCCCACGAATGGGCTGGCTGCATGGGTGTTTTCGTGGTTTTCCCCATGTGTAACGTGTATACGAGCCAGTTTCCCTGAAGTCCTCCACGAAGGCATTCCTCCCCTTAGGCAGATACCCTAGTGTGCTTTGCCATAATTAAATACACACACACATAAATGGTATTCATATTGTTATGTAGGTTACTATCATAAATTTATCATGGTATTAAGAGCTCGCATTTAAAACATTTAAAATCTGAAAATAACATCTGCAATAATTTGTAAACGCTTTATTTTTCTCACGATATTTTCTACTACAGTGTTTAAAATTGCTAAATGTTTTAATTGCTTTATTTTCTACGCCGATGTTTTATATCACAATGTTTTCAAACTGCGAATATCTCTCAAGCTTTCTTCCTCCCACCCACGATGAATTTTACGTCGATGTTTTCACACTGCTTGGTTTACTCCGCGAATTGTTCTTCGCGAGGCTTTCAGAAGACACCATTCTACTAACGTTTAGCTCTATTTGCAGTAAACATGAATTTAACTACTGTTTAATGAAATTTTGGAATTTTATATTGATTGGGAAATTTGTAGTAGGTTCCATTTCAATTTTTTATTTTTGGGGGTGGGAAGACATATAGTTTGCTAAGAAAGGATATTTCGTTGTTGATTCATAAGTAATTTGATTTCTCCTTTTAATAATTTCATCATAAAATTCTTTCGAAATAATGCTAAAATTGTTGTCTTCCTTATCAGTTGTAGCAGGTATAAAGTGGCATTTCAGTTCTTTAATATCTGCATATATATGTAGCTACATCTAATTTTCCAGTTTGCAAATTTGGAAATTTCTTTTTTTAATGAACTAAAAAATATTAATTTTCTATTCAATAAGAGTACCAACAGCATAGTATTTTTCATAGTCATTCCTATTGGATTTTAGACAGCAATTTTAAATTATGTATAATATAATAATTCACTGAGGTGCGTTGGTGTAAATGATGAAAATTAAATAGACCGCTACCTAAGAAAAACAGTGAAATAATCGCAACTAAATTAGAATTTGTTAGCTTATTTAAAGTACTTTTATCACATCTGTTTCCATTAACACCTTCTAAATTATATATCGAAAATTATTAAATTAGTTCTAAAATTATTTACTCTTTTATTAAGTAGATTCAGAAATGTAAAAAGTTCATTTTCCAATAATTATTTCCAGTTCTTTAAAATGCTTTAGGAAATTAAAGTAACATTTTAGATTTGATTCTTTCGTGGAGACCATCATATTTTCACTCAAAGCAGTTAAAGGAAATGATGATTATACTTCATACGAACTTATTGATTCAGAGCTCTTTATTTCAATTACCGTTTAGAAATGTAATAATGAAAATAAATGCTTCCGTTTTCATTTTACATCCTATCGATATTCTAATTTTACTCAATGCAAATGATAATACAGGTGTTAAATAAGTTTCGTAAATTTTATGTAAAAATCTATTGATTTCGCAAACAAATATTGCTAGTCAAGAAATTATGCTTAGTAATGCTAGCAGACTTATTGATCAATGTTATCGTTAAATTAATACGTTTCTGAGGCATACCATTTACTAAACAACTGTATCTTACATATTGATTTCAAATACTTGCTCGATTTAATAAATCAAATCTCTTAAATCTCACATTTGATCATAATCAATTTCAGTGACTGAGTGTAAATTTTAACGAAGATATGATTTCATTCTGATTTTAGATAATTTGTTGTTTTAATATTGAACTAAATATGTGAATTTGTTAATTCAAAATGATTGACCGGAATATGGAATAATTTATTAAAATTAGATAAATTTCCCTATGTCCTTTTATTTCAAGTAAATATATACGGAAATTTTGCATTATATTCTTACCATTCCTGAAATAGATAAACTTGAATACAAAAAAAATATAATAATAATAATAGCTTGGATTACGTGCATGTTAAAAATTAAATTATTATTCTGTTTATGTAATTAAATTTCGTTTAATAATTAGATTAGTAGAGTGATATTTAATGAAATGTATAAATTTGAAGTGAAATATTGGAATATACCCCAAGCCTGGTTATGAAAACGTATGCAGATTATTTGGGTGCACAAACACATTATATAACTTTCAACAATAATTCGCATATTGTTAAATCCAAGTTTCCTGGGATGCTACTGGAATTACATGGAAGATATAGTGTAAAATCTAACTACTAATAGAATCCCAGTTTTGGATTAAACCAAAGTAAAATCGCAAACACAGATACAAAAATAGAAATATGAATTTTGCTGTCAAAGAAAGAAATGAGGAAAGGAAGCTACCATTCAAATAACAAAAATAAGTGCAGAAACAAGGATAAAAAGGGATTTTTCTTCAATAAAAAACGTAAATTAATATCCTAGATGAATGGATGAATGAAAAGAAACAATAATCCTTAAATATATAAAAAGATCAGAAAGGATTTGTAACAATCATTAAAAATTCTATAAAATTTGAGCAGGAATGATAATTAAGTTATCTAACTATTTTATAATCAATATATAAGACGAATTTTACTTTTATAATGCAATATGAATATGAATCTTGGTAAAATACCCATTATCTGACTTCTTGCTTTCCTCGGTGAAAACATTTACCACAGATACATATAATTTAATTATTAAATAGAAGCTGATAATTATTATTATTTATTATGTAGAAATCAGATGATCTTCATAACATCAGTATGTCATGATGTCAAAAATTATTGTCAGTTCATAATTTAAGCTCTCAATAGGAAATTAAAATTGCTTTCTGACGCTCATCAATTAATTTTTTTTAATTTTTACAGCTCATTTGTTTGGAGAATATTTAAAGCAGTACTGATATTGAAGATTAATTTAAAGCTGCATAGATTAGCCAAATTAATCATTTAAAATGTTTCTGAAACAGAATAAGAGTTATTTGAGAAACATATACAATATATTCTAAAGACTCTGTGTCTTTAGTATTGCTATTTAGCAAAAGAATGTGTACATCAAGAGACACTTCGTAAAAAATGTAAATGTCACTTAACTGCAATTTTTATATATTTTTCCCCGCCGAATGCGAAATTTCTTAATCCAAATTATTACTGTAAATTGACCAAAATAGAAAGCATCGAACAATGTTTTGTATGAATAAATAATATCAAAATAATTAATAATGAATAATTAAATAAATTCATAAATTATAATGAATAATTTTGTATCTCTGGATTTGAAATCGGATTTTAATTATAATATTTATCTTGAAATTATATTTATTGCACAAAACTTTATTCTTCGAGTCCTTTGAAATTTGATATTTTCGAATCTGTGTACTTATTTTCTTTTCAGTTCCTCCAGAGGTATCTCTACAATTTGGAGCCAACATCAAATATTCATCCATCAAAGAAGGCAACGACGTATATTTAGAATGCGTCATCAAAGCAAATCCTCCTGTATCTGAACTGACTTGGTTCTTTGAAGGCATACCTTTTTACGGAAATGCATCTGCTGGAATTATAATTTCTAATCAGTCTCTAGTGCTGCAAAGAGTTCGCAAAGAACATCGTGGAAAATACAGATGCTTAGCAGCAAATACTGAAGGTCAAGGTCAAAGCTTAGACCTATTGTTGGAAGTGCGATGTAAGATTTTATTTAAATTTCATTCGTTTTAAAGGCTTTGAATTAGGTAATAACAAATCATTGTGAAAATATTTGTTTAAAAATATTTTATTGGATATTGATATATAATATTATTTGTTATAATTAATATTTGTGAATTCCAGGGAAACTGTTGTTCAGTTTGTATATTTCCATTGTTTCCTAAAGCCATTTAGGCAATGGCACTTGATTCCAAAATACATTAAATAGAAGTTTCAATCTGAAAACATATATTTCTTCCTATGATGGTAACATATCGTAACAAGGGCAGATAATTTACGTTTCCTTGGAAATATAATCATGCTATAATTAAATTGCATTGAATCGCAGCGGGATTTGCTCATATAAGAATTGCTTTTTGAAATCGAAAATTTATTACTACAAAAGGTGTAAGGTAAGATAAACTATTATGATACGTAGTCTAACAATATATTTCATTTCCTTTTATTAATTCGCTGCAGAGAGCTTTATGGTTACGCGCAAATATAAGTTTTTTACATGCGCTTTAAAGATACATTATAGCCTCGATTTAAAAGGAAAAATATTGAGTATTTGAGATTTTATTCTGAATACTTCATCTCTACTTAAAGAGCAATATCTTTATACACTTTAATGCTAATAATTTATTGCAATATTCCACAAAAGTTTATTTAAATTGCATTATTTTTAAAAAACATAACTAAGTAAGTATTTTTAGTATAAGAACATATTTAAGGAAAATTATATTCATATTTGTTTTATTATTTGCAATTTTTTATCGCTTAATGCTAATAAGGGCTTATCATTTTTGGCTATCGTGAAAATCGTTGATCATACTCAATTGTGTTGTTTACTAAAACCGTAATTACAAACTTTTCTAGGATATAACTGAATCATTTGTAAAATCTGCTTTCCGTTTAAGTAATTTAATTAATAAATATGTTAAATGAAACTCGTAGTAAGCAGATTATTATTAAATTATGATTTTCATTATCGACAAAAAAATTTAACTACCAATATTCATTTTATCTAATATTTTTTTGGCTGATCTTTGGAATATGGTAACTGGTAGTTTGGCGACATTTTGGAGGCGATAAAGGTTACTACCTAGGACTTCGGTAATAATGTGAGAAGCACTCAGTTCCGATTACGCATTATTTTGTGTCAGGGAAATGAGAGATCATGAGATATGTCATGTGACATTAATGGACGAATTACAGTTGTTTTCGGAAAAGGGGGGGAAATCTGGAAATTTCGTATTTAGCTATATTCTGTGTTGTGTGAAACGTGACATTAATGGACGAATTACAGTTCTTTAATCGGAAAAGGGGTTTAATTTGGAAAAGCTTCATTGTGTGTTGTGTGAAATAGTGTTGATTAATTTTCGGATTGCATGGCGCTATGTAAAGTGAATTCTAAATTTTTAATGCATTTATCTGATAATAATAATAATTTGAGATTGTGTGAAAGGAAGGATATTAGAAGTTTAAATGGCCGTACAAGAAATATGGTGAAAATGGATATTTTGTGAAAAGGAGTGTAAGGAAGGGTTTAATCATTTGAGGATATTATTTTTATGCATTGTTCTAAATGTAAGGAGTAAATAAATTAAAATTGTATTATTTGAAAATTGTTATTAGCAATGATTTAGTTTAAAGTAATTAGGATTGTAATCTAATTTTTATTAATTTAATGTAGTGCTTATTTATATTTTAAGTAGTGATTTTTTAATTTAATTATATTTTTAATTTAATGATCGTGATTTTGTGAGTTTATTTTTGTAGTATTTGGAACATGTTTAAGTATAGTCGTGGGTATTTTCATGCATTTTCGTGAAATTTTTTTCTAATTTATGAGAAAAAAGCGTGTACATGGATATAGTGAAGAGTGTGCGCAATGCCATTTTTGTGCAATTCTGGGATGTTTTTTTAAGTAAAAATAAGTCGACTGTACTGGTTAGTGATATTTTAATTAAATGATAGTTTATTTGTGAATTTTATGTTTGTAGGAATTTGGTATACGTTTTAGTTGAAGTAAACGTGCATGGAAATAATTTAAATATTTGACACTAAGTATTTGGTAATGTTTACGGTATGAATTCGTTGGTAACGTTATAATATAATAGATAATTTAGAGGTAAAAGTTTTTGAATATTTTATTTATTTTACGTGGAAATGTTCATATTTGGAAAGGGTATATACTTTTTCGCGATAAGGTAATTTCATATATGTTCCTTTTACCGGGTTTAAAGATTCAGAAAATTTTCATGCATTTTCGTGAAATTTTTCTAATTTATGAGAAAAAAGCAGTGTACATGGATATAGTGAAGAGTGGGCGCAATGCCATTTTTGTGCAATTCTGGGATGTTTTTTTAAGTAAAAATAAGTTGACGTGTACATGGTTTATGTGTATGTCTTATTTTGAAAAACGCGCAAAGAGTTTCCGATTGTGCACTCTTTCCCAATTTTGCAGTGAATATTTGTCATGATTAAGCAGTTTTGTTAGATAAAATTTCTAGTATAAGTGTAATTTGGCTAGTAGATTGTTGGAAAAAGTGTTCAGTAAATAAAAAGAAAAGAAACATGTCTTTACTTCGTGAAGACAAAATGGCGGCGGGAAAAAAAATAAAAAATAGAGGGTGGCTGTAGCAGAGTTGATCGCCAAATTTTCGCCAAAAATCGCCAAGTTACCATAATCCAAAGATCAACCATTTTTTTAAATTAAGTTCATCATAGATAATATTCTTTATTTCTTAGAAGTATACCATAAATTATTTAAAATTTAATTTCTAACCCGTTTCCTGATAAAATACAAGCGATGTGTAGAAAAAATAGTGAGTAAATAAATTAGTCTTTAAAATTGCAGGAAACATTAAAAAAAATTTACATCAATTAATAAAATGCAATAAAATTTTCTGGATGCAATTAATATATAAAACATCAAGATGTACTAAAGACGTTTTGAAAAATATAGCGAATTTCAATAGCTTAATAAATTTATCGGTATTTGAAATAGTATTTCTGCCAGGCGTTCTTGCATTCATTGAGGATTTGAGGTTTTATTTAGAATTCTGTTGACTAACTGCATGCATTGAAGATGAAGACATGCCTTATTGTCTGCTTACTCATTCACCATTGTTTATACTTTTTCATATGAAAAAGTTGATTTCTAAAGCATTAAGTGAAAGCATGAAACTTCAGATTCGAAGCACGTAATACCTTTTACAATTCAGAATGTTTCCCATACTATAAAATAGGAAAGTGTTGCAGTGGAAGGGAAATTCTGATTCGAGAAAAGTATTTGATTTTCTACTTCGGCATTCTTTTAACATTTAAACAGAGAGTAAATGCTCTGTGGAAATAAATTTTATTCTTTAAAACTAAAATCGCTTTCCTATACCATAGAAGCTCTTTATCTCAAATCATGGGTATGGAACGGCTTCGGTAATGGTACTAAGCACCTAAAAAAGTGTAAATCTAAGTCTGCGTTCCAACATGGTTTACATGCATTATGCTTACGTAATATCTGTATTATTTACTAAACAAAAATTTATGATTTAAATTTTCTAGCTCTCTGACGATCATTGCCTATGACATAAAGCTTTTTCATTAAAAAATACAATAATAAAGGATTAATTTTTACAAGTCGTTTTCGAAAACATCTCATATAATAAACTTTGTAATTTACTTTTAAAACTTTCATTTTCGTTTAAGTTATATAAAAGGAATAATACAGTGTTTTTGGTGTATTGAGAATACGGCAAAGCACACTAGGGCTATCTGCCTAAGGGGGATGCCTTCGTGGAGGAATAATACGGATCCTAACTATTGTTATATTTTAATAAAATATCTTTCATTTTATTTACTTCGTGTCCAAAATGAAGTACGTTAAAGAGGTTAGGAAAACACGCGAAAAAACTTATAATGTAACTCTGAATACTAAAAATTATTTTAACAGATCTTAAAAGCTTAGTACTAAAAATTCGTTCATTTCTTAAAATCATTATAAAACCTTAATCGCATTTTATGAGTGTCCAGTCAACCAAAAAAAATTTTTTTTTTTTTTTTTTTGGAATAGAGATTAGTTATTGAAATTTTCTGTATGTAAAAAACCACTGTGGCAGAGAGGAAGCAGCCAGAGTTGGCCTTCGTCCAGCGTATTCTCCATATAGAGATTAGATGTAAAATCCTAAGAAGGTTTTTAGGTCCATAATATATTAGGATAGCCAATTCTCTGCTGTGGGTTTGACTACACTTATCATAAGAATAGGTTCATGGTAATATTGCAGCTATACACGTTAGGGCATATACTTATGAAGGAGGCTATAATGATCGAAACAGGGGAACAATTAATATACAAGAGAGAGAAAATGAAAATATGCAAAACGAAAATATGATAACGATGTTTGGTGCAAGAGAGAAGATATCGTAGAAAAGAACGCATAAAAATATACCTGCATTGTACAGTTGGGGAATATACAGTGTTAGATATATAGAATTGAAAATGAGTATGCGATAAATAAATTGGGAGAATTTTTATTAATTCTAATGTTTGTACATAACCTCTGTATAGTAAAACAACAGAAAATTTTTAATAATCTTACTAATTTAACTTATCCTTTTTAAATAACATTTTTAAGCGGAAATTAAGTAATGAGAATTCTGTTAATCGCTATTTTATTGAGACAGAATTATAAAACTTTTAAGCATTTTGATAAATTAGTTAATATATATTTCTAGATGCTTGCATTTTCGAACAGAAAGCTTACGAATACATTTTACCTTCATTCTTAGATGCTCCTACCTGCAAATCGACTCAGAAAAGTGTCTATGGTGTAGCGAGGAATGAAGTTGTAAACGTTACCTGCGAAGTGGAATCCGATCCTAGTGACGTCACTTTCCGTTGGGCACTCAACAATTCAATCGAGAGCGTAGCTTTGCATAACTTTACATCCCATGGTGCTTATAGCGTCCTAACTTTCACTCCCAAAGCTATGCCTGAATTCGGAGCTTTACTCTGTTGGGGCAGAAATGTCGTCGGAGAGCAGAAGGAACCATGCGTCGTTCGCATTATACCAGCAGGTAAGAATGCACGAATCTCTTTGAAGTTATTTAAAGCGTGCAGTTCTGAAAAGGATTTAATCTGCCGTTTCAATGGCGTATATTTGTTTCATCTTAAAGGGAATTAGATTACGGAATACACAAACTTCGAATAGTTACATTTCTCATGAAATTATCTTAGATACATGTGAATGCAAACTCCTTATAGGAACGTAACTCTTCAGATATTTCCTGTTTGCATTTACACTTTTGCTGACTAAAACTCTAAGCTTTATTTTAATTAAAACGTTATTTTTTATGGTTCTTGCTTGGTTAATATGATCTACTGTGTCATATAGTTATTTAGATATGCGATAAGTGCCATAGAAGAATAAAAATATAAGAGAAGGGCTTTCACCTGGACGTAGTAGTAAAAGCTGATCTGTTGCTGACCGACATTAGCGATCTATTCGATGAGTTTCATCTTTGATTGAATATAAAATAATAGTCTGCCAAACAGCACATGCAGTCGCACGATCTTAGCTTAAATTTTATAACTGAACATAAGTTAGCTCATTGTTATTTGTCAATCCAACAAAAAGCTGAGTTAAATTTATAATAGTTAGTGTTAGTTTCTTCGAGCTCAAATTGACAATAAATATTTAATTGTTTTATATCTACCGCATTTATTTAGTATTTTAGTTTTTATAATAAAAACGGGACGAACGTTCTGCTGGTGGTCTAAAAGAAGGGTGATAAACTTCCATATATATATATATATATGTATATATATATTAAAATAAAAAAAATACAATGGCTTTGCTCTTTGCGAACAGCAACCTTTAATTACTTTTCTGCAATTCAGGTCGGCCCCTAACCCAGTACCCTGCTAGAACATTCACGCCTATTACATAACCTCCTCATATAAATGGTGAGTCATAAGTTCTCCTAGACAGATGCCTTCTCGCCTTCGTCCTGCTAACGCTTCCGCTATGCTCCTCTTTCTTTGCTTTTATTATTACATATATATATATAGAGAGAGAGAGAGAGTATATCTACTGAACTTTTTTTCCTTTAAAGTATGTCATGATCTACCTACCAAAATCCTGATATTTAACACGTTCAAACTTGTTTCTTGTGTAGTTATGAGAAAGAGGGTGTTAAACCAACATTATAGTTTATTAATTATGTTTATTAGTTTAAAAGTAGCTTCAGGAAAAATGAAAATTAAACTTTATTATCTTCCCATTAATAGGAAATCTTCATATCTCCAACTATTTGTTCATAATTTGGTGTGTATTCGTTCGAATCTTCATAATAACGTTTATACTTCTAGCAGCATTCTAAAGCTTGTCTTAACATTTCGTTGCTAATATTAAATTGCAATGGCCTCTCAATGGGTCAGGGAGTGTGTGGTAGACCCGTCATCGCTTTTGCGCCATCTATGCATACCCCAATGCAGTTTATTCATTCTAAACCTTCAGTTTAAGAAAAATCATCAGCTTTACATATGTCTTCTCTTGTTCCATATTCTTCCAAAGGACGGCGAAATAACAAACCTTCATCCATGTTTTCTTCGTTAATGTATCTAATATATACTAAAAACTGAGCTAAGTTTTAAGCATCATTTGTTTCGGCCAACTAAATTGCATAAATTTTGCTGTTTATAAATCTAGTATTAATATGCTCAAACTGGTTGTTGCTAATTTTAGAAATTCTATTGATGACAGTGTCGTTTGATAAAGGAATTTTTAGATTTCATGGACATAATTACATCCGTGAAGTATTTCTAGAACTTTAGTAGTAGAGGTAATAAAAGATCTTCTAAGTGTATGGATTTTCATTTTTAGCAAGTAGGGAAGAAACTTTGCATGATCCGAATAAATATTTTTCTTCAACAGTCATAAATTTCTCAAAATACTACTTATTTAATTGAACATTTTAACATTCGTTCGAAATACTTTTTTGGTACTGAAATATGAAGAATATTTTGGATTCAAGATAATTTCTTAATTATGATCGTTTCATACTCTTCAGAGCAAAACGTTATTGCAAATGAAACAAAGAGGTTGTTAATTGAAATCAAAGTTATTGAGGGTTAATTGGAGAAACGTTTCATCAGATTTTCTATTCACATCTTAGATGCCACTTTTTAATTACTAAATGTAGCCAAACCAATGTCTGAACGGTTACCACTATATACTGGTTATTCGACCTGGTGTGAGTTTGAATTTAGGCGAAGGACCTAGCTGTATGATTCGTTTTCATGATTTTTCCCATGTATAATGTGAATATAAACGGGTTTGCGACCCTATGTTGGGGCCACGACCCACAATTTAAGAAACGTTGTTGTGAACTAATTTGCGTTCTAGGTAAGTTCACAACAGTAGAAAAAGAAAAGCCAAAACAGAAAAGAAACCCATAGAATAGCCACATAGAAAAGACAAAATAATAAGGTAACTGAATTAAAAAATATGGTTACACTTGTATTGATAATAATTTGTAGCATAACAACAGAGATAGCGGTTCACTTAGCGGTAAGAAATAACTCAGGGTAGTTTATGAATAAAAGTAGCTTATTATGGAGCGAAGGCGATCCGATGACTGGTGTGGCATCGTTATAAAGTTTATTTACATCAGAAATTGAGGTATCGATTAATCTGGATAAATATTTTATACAAATAAAGAATCTTTCTAAAAAATTGTCCATTAAAATCGTGTGATTGTAAACGGATATATCATACAATTCTTATATTCGCAGTTTTTATATAAAATAATTATGTAGATACGTAATAATGCTTGCAATGATTATTTATGTTTACATTACTCATTTTTTAATTTGGTGTTATAAAAGAGGGAATTTTAATCGAGTGCGCAAGCGCAAGACTTTGAGGCAATAATCTTCATGGAAAAAAATATTTAAATTTGTATCCTGACTGCAATTATTCTCACATTCGCTGTTGTTTTCACTTATATTGTATGAAATATTTATATTATGCGTATGTACTATGGATACAAAATAACAAGTGGCTAGATCCTTAGCCACTTGTTAAAAAAAGATGTTTGCAGTTTTCAGAAAAACAAACATTACGTAATGTACTTATTTTTCATTTGGTTCCTAAATTTATTCATTTGCTCATTAAACTTTATGTGTCTGATGTATTTTGTTGCAGAAAACAGAGGGCATACTAGGAAAAGTAAATAACATGTACAAAGCTTCTTATTTGCTGGGAAAACCTTTATTTGTTTCATTACATGGTTGAATAAAGGTGACATAGAAGTAACTTCTGTATCCTAAGGGGACGTCACTACCAGCTGGGTCTTTAAAAGAAAAAAAAAATGCCTTTGGCTAACTTAGTGTCTTTGACAGAATAACACATAACACGTTAGAATGTGCATTGTATTTTAGAGCTACGAAGAAATTATATACGTTATTCAGAGTTTAAATGTCAGAATATGTTTTTCATAATTAAAAAATAAAGCCATCTTTTTCATAAAAACATTACGATTCCTTTGTTTTTGTTTACTGATAAATGGATGTATACTATATGCATAATTTCCCTTTCAATAATCTGTAATTAGCTCTTGATAAGGTGCAAATAAAATTCACTATACCTCTAGCAACTACGAAAACTTTGAATGCAATTAAAGTTCAGACACTGTTTTTAAACAAAATACGTTGTGAAACGTCATATCTCTAAACTCATAACTGAATCCCTGTTATTTGTAAAGAAATTTCTCAAATTTAGCTAAATAGTCATACTTAAATATCTACATAGAATAATTTTACAGTCTGTTCTGTTTGTGTACATACTATATCTTTCGCATTTATTATTTTTTTACATTCGACACAAACTACTGGTAAAGAGGTTTATTTAATTTACATAACAGTTATTTTATGACTGTAATCTTTCCTGTTACTTATTTCTTTCCGTTTTCTCCCAGAATACAAATTAGTTCGCATGTATATAACTAAGAGTTTGAGATTTTTAAGCCGTAGCGTGTTCTGCCTCTTGAAGGCCACGTTGCTAGGTTTGCCATTCTAGATAAGTGTTCCTGTCTTCAGCTTCATTAATTCTTACCAATAGTTAAATTCGCGCAAGTGATGTCCAAATCAGCTTCGCGACTAAATTTTCGGTGCAACCTTTGGCTATTAGAGATTTAAATTTAGCTTTGCATTTGAGAGGTTCTTGTCATAAATGCTGGCGGATTTGTGAGCATCATGTGCGCCTTCTTTTCATCCATTTTAGTTGGAAGTAAAGGGTCATTTACACACTTCTTAAGTCTCTCTGTACTTAGGCATAGCAATAAGTCGCTTTACGTCTATCAGAGCTTACGTCTATCTTTACGTCTATTTGGTCACAGTTTACAGTAGTGAAAAACGTTACACATTACAAAATTAAATTTACAAAATAAAATGTTATTTCATCAGAGCTTGTTCTATTCGTTTCAAATCTAGCTATTAAAGAAATTTAAACGGTTCTTTAAATCAATCATTTGAAAGAAAATAAATATAAGGAATGGAAAAATATATAAAAATAAGAAGACTGCCTTTGATTTTCTTTCTTCATTAGAATTTATATAAAACCGATAGTAAAACTAGAAATTCTTAAAAAACATTGCAGTGTTAGGTGTCATAAATAATTGGAAATAATAACAGCACGTCATATTTTAAAATTAGGCAAGAAAACGCTAACTTATATTAACCCAGATTTTAAATAAAATTCAAATCTACACTATTCTAAAACTGCACCAAATTAAAAATCAATTTAACATCAGTTTAACACTGTATTTTGGCCTACTTTTAAAATTTACAGTGACGTGTTTAGCTTTTGATCAATGACTGCAGAAAACTGAGTGGTAGCTCTTTTGCATTTCACGAAGAGGTCTTTTGGAAGCGTGTTAGGAACAGAGATGTGCTTTTCGTTTACAAACAGTTCGTAAGTGAACGCCTGTTCCCCCTCCCCCCCCCAAAAAAAAAAAACAGAGCTCTTCTAGAGTTCACCCACCAAGAACTCTAGTTTCAAAGTGTCAGGAAGTTCGGTTTCCATTTCAGAAGAGGAAAGAATTTTTACCTTTCCATGTTTAAAGGGAGTTTAATTTTTATCATTTCCCAACTTTTTGTAAAACATCTTTATATTCAAAAATTAATTTTTCGTTTTATGTAGAAAAGAGGTTTTAGGGAATTTCGAAACTACAGTTGCAAAAGGTCGGTGCCTTAATGACATCAACTCACTAACGTTTTAGCTGACCAGGCCATGTAAATTCCCCAAGGTCACGCTTGAGCCCGAGAGCCTAAATGGTCACAGGGTATCACGATCAAGAAACAGACGCGAAGACTATAAAGCAGCAGAGAGTGTTTATAGTTTATGTGTTCGACTTCTGTTTTGAGCCTAATTTTAAATCAAAATTTACTAAACCTTAGGAATAACTGTTCAGAAATTATGAGCAACTAAAATAATAAGTAATGTGTATGAATATTTTTTTTTTTCTGACCAAATGTCCAGACACTTGATTCTCAAGCAGTGTGAGAGTAATTAAAATAAAATGTAAAACTAACTAATGTAACTAACTAACCAATGTAATGTAACTAACTAATGTTACTAACTAAATGTAATTAACTAACTAATGTTACTAACTAAATGTAATTAACTAACTAATGTAACTAAGTAAGTAAATGTTAAAAATTAATAAGAATAAATAATTTTAATTAATAATGTGTATAATTTATAATTATATATTTTCTTAAATATGTTATTTTGTTGATCTATTGTGCAGTTTATTTCATGTGTAGTTTTAATTTTGTTAATTTGTTGTAAGATTTATTCTTCGCAAAATCTTCTTTCGCTTTGTTTTTCCGTTTTTTAATATTTATAATGTTAGCGCTGTATAAGTCTCCTCTGCATATATACAGTTATAAATATCTTTTGTATTTATAAGTATCGATATAATTACGTTATCTGAATTGTATGATAAAAATACATTAAGAGAATGGATATGAACATAAGCTTTATTTCTTTACATATATTTTTTGAAAATTTATTTTTCTTTCTTTCTTTCTTTATTTATTTATGTATTTAGTTACTAATTTATTTATTTACTTATTTATTTTTTGCATGTGTAAACTTTCAGAGTCACTCATAGTTTTCATTTTGTTACTTTCTTATACAATTTCAAAATCCCCTCTTACCGTGTCTTTCTTTTCCCTGTGTGCAACAGAAGATCAATAGTTACGTTTTGGTAAATTGATTAAACCTTCTAATTCATATTTAAAGCATGATGGAAACGTACCAGAAAATCAGCATGAAGAACAGCATCCAAATATTCGCAGTAAGTAAATTTTCCTATATTGCAGAGAATGCGAATAATGTCCGAAGGTGGCTGAATTCACCTCTATTTAGATTTCGAACAGAAGAACAGAACAGATTTTGAATAGAAGAAGTTTCTTTAGTAGGACAATCAATTTCTTTTTTTTTTCTTTTCTTTTTTTTTTTTTTTTTCAATTAAATTCAACTCTTCACCTTGCAACTGTAAATTGACGTCATTAAATATTTTAAACAGGTCTGTCAAATAAGCGATGTCATTTTTCGATGTAATCAGGTTTTTCTCATAGTTTTTCGTCTCTTTTTTCAAGTAAGTCCAGTACTGAGTCAAATAATTTTAAAAAACTTGTTGGATTCCCCTCTGTGTAATTCTAAGTTACTATTGGAAGTGAAAAATCTCAAGAACTGATAAGCGAATAATCGCTTGAGTTCGTGTGACAGGAAACAACAAGATAGAAGGGTAAAATAACCCTTTATTATTCCAACTGAAGTTTCACAAAACTCCGTCTTGGAGTTGTAAAATAAAGCCGACACTTGGGCCTGAACTTAAAATTAAACTATAACTAATTATATATTAACTAAGAGTTAAACTAAACTAATCTTAACTAAAGAGATAGAGAAGCTATCAAGAGTCAAACAGAGTTGGCCCCTTAACGTTAATTGACTGCGAAGCTATCAATGTCTAAAGTACGGCCGAGCGTAATAATAGCTTACGAGAGAGTAGCCTAAAAAGACGGACTCGTGCAGCCAGAATATTTGGTATCTCTCTCACTAAGACTGTAGTAGAACTTCGCGGCTATATACATCTCTTCCATATTATTATTCAGACGTGCTTCTATAACTATGCTCTGGCCGTAAGTGGTATGTTGAAGTAAAAATCTATAGGAAAGGAAGTTTAACTCAAAATTTAACTGTTAATAAAATTAGCATAATCCTTAAAATCTCTTCAAACAAATAATTTCGAGGGCCAGCGAACATCTATGTGCAGAAGCAAGCGATTGTTATCGCTCATTTTTACTAAACATTTGGCCAAATAATGTCGTGAAGTGAATTGCTTCTCTTATTAACTGCTGTAGTAACCTAATGAAGCGACATATATAGGTGTTCTTTTAGATTTTTTGCAATTAAATGCTGAAGACAATGAATAACACAGTTTACAGCGAGTACATGTGCTACTGTTTGTTTCAAATGCGCTATGAAACCCTTATGACGCCGGAGCATATCAGTAGTAGCTGACAAAATATTACGAATAGGAATTTATTTGTCTTGAAAGAAACTTCCATTGTTGTTCATGGTGATTATTTCATTTCATTGTGGTCAGATTGTACATTGTATTAAATATCGATTCTTCCTTTGTATGAGCTTCCAAGTTTTTGGCAAATTTCAACTGTTGGCATATTTGTTTAAATGAACGTATCATAAAAGCAGTGTTTTGTTATTTGGTAGAAGTTGTTTATCGAGTTCAATGGAAAATCTGCAAATCGCATAATGATATTTCAACATTAGCCATTTCATCTATTTTTCTTTGCACCGAATTATTAGTCAAAGAATGTTTTCTGATCATATTTGACGGCTTCGCATAATGAAGAACAGTTTCCATTGCACCTGTGACCGCCAGCAAGATTAATTGTGTGTGGGTTTTCCGTTTTCGCAATTAATAATGAAATATTACTTCAGGCTAATAGTCCATCATGTTCTTGTTTAGGAGACAACGCAAGAAGGTTTGAAATAGTTGGCTGACTTAAATATTTATTTTCTAGTCTTTGAAAATAAGATAAATCTTTGTTCTTTTTTATTAGCATGCATTTTATAGAAATGCTGTTGCAGCCTAGGAGGCTTCAAGGTTTCATCTGAAAAACTTGTGCGGCAAATTAAATTCATAAGTAATGATTGGTAGATAAGAAGTTCGGTGAGTGAACTCGCTAATCATACTATAGTAATGATCCTATAAGTACGTAAATCCATATTTAAAATGCTCAACACTGTAGCTCTGACATTTATTCTTAGATTCACATATTTTGAAATTTAAAATTTGCCGGGGTGTAAATACATTAACTTTCCAGCAAATTTATAGAAAGTTACAAAAATGATGGCTGTAATGAATTCTGTCACTTTCACTCACAGTTATGGAATATTGGCGAAGCACGCAAAAATAATAATATATTCCTAGAGCTATCACTGCATGTAGTAGATTTGATACTGTGATCACTGCATGTAGTAGATTTGATACTGTGCATGCACAACGTTTCTGCTTTTGCTTCTTTGTGATGTCGGTGTATATGCTCTGTATAAAATCCATTGCCAATTTCCCATACTTTTCTCGAAGCAAGCTCGATTGCGTGATTTTCGTCTTTGCTTACCAATTTGCAAAGAGGTGTCATCGACTAACTAAACCGAATTAGGTATACCTATACCGAATGCTAATTGAATTTTCAATGCTTATTTACGCAATAAAATTAAGACAAAAAACTAGGTCAATCCTTATTCGTGAAAACTGTAAGTACTTTCAAAGTATTCTATATAAATCTCCTAAATTGGTTAAAATAAAACTCCACTGCCGCCCCTCGTGATTGTCTTAACGTTGACTTTTTTCATCGGGACCCGCTACTACCCCAATGGAAGCCTCCAGCGTCAGTTGGCTGGGACGGTACCGCCACCGTTGAGAAATTTGATTTAGAACAATGTTTCTCAACCGCCGGTCCGCAAACCGCAAAATTTAATATAACAACTAACAGGTTGGAAGTGTGCAAAAAAAGTAGAGAATGCGAACATATATTTAAAAGTTTATATTTAAAAGATTATGATATCTGTCTTAAAACCAAAGGGTAAGGCGGGAAATCATTAGTGAAGAAATGAAAAACCTTGTGATCAAAAGAACTGTATGTTGGATAGCATGTGTTATCTTTTTTTTAATCAAATAGTAGTATGCAGTTAAAATAATTTTAATAAAAATTTTCTTTTCCATACTAAAATATAAAATCGACTAATATTTACCAAAATATCTAAACATATTTAAAAATGAGAGAATAGTTAAGAGAAAACCAATTCGAATTAGCAGAATTTATTAAGCTTTTTCACAACAAACTTCTAGCAGTTGACATTTTGCTCGAATTTATGGTATATAACAGTATATATATATATTTAGGCTAAAAACAAATCGTTACCTTAATTGTTCTGACCTGCGTTTCTATGATTTCATAAAATAAAAGAGAAAACGGGATATCGCACACAGAGATATTACGATAACGTGCTTCCGAAGGCACATCAATTCCTAAACTTCTCAATGTAAGGGAAAGAAAAATCTCCACATCTAAGAATGATGCTATCAATCAATTTCTAACTCTTTGTTGCCTCGACAATATCGCTTACTAGGTCATGAATCATGTTTCTGTCACGCGCCACCTTTTCATCACTTCCGTTCATTATTCATCGTGCTGTGGCACTCTATGAAAGTGCCCTATCGATGAGTAACGTTTCGTGCCGCCCTCCATTTCCAGAGTTCTCACTTTGTGCGTGAAAAGTGGTTACCTCTCTTGCAAGCATTTATTCCTTTATCTAGTTACGTCTAAGAAACTACGCATAAAATGAAAAATAACACGTAAAGGATATTCTCTTTAAAGATAACTAAAATTCGTGACCTAAACTACAATGTAAACTTAGAGGGTAAATTACCTTTGATAGTGAATTTGATGTATTTTTCAGGAAATCACAAATTATTGAAAAAGTCCTTTTTAGCTAAAAATTCAAAAAAAATTTACAAAAATTACATTTGCTGGTATCTCCTTTTCTCTTAAGAAATAATATCTAAATAGCAGTGCGCGAAAGGGAATATGAAATACGTGTTATGAAAGTTTAAAAGAAGTACCCAAGAATAAGGTTAATATCTATATAGGAATACAAAATGCACATTGCTTTAATTTACATAGATAAATGCAAGTTAATTTAGGTATTTTTTAATTATCACCATATTTTTGGCCATAATAAATGAATCATATTCGTAAAATTAGTACAATACATTCTGAGAACGATGCTCAAAGTATTGTTCTCAGAAGGTACTGCATCGCTGTCAAAATGCACTATGTCAAGGACGTGTGAAAGATAAATTAAGTCTTAAGTTTCACTCAATTTCAGTAGTTGCCAATGCAGTTAAATACCGCTTCAAAGTGCTGTCGTCTTTTCTCAGATTATATTTTGGGAGGAAATATTTTACATGCTACTTAGCAGAATGCCCCATCTTAGAGGTGAAAAGGATGAAATAAAACATCTTCCATACGAAAGATGAAGTATTAGAAAAGTTCAGAAAAAAGCACAAAAGAAATTCATATAGCGGACGAAGTATCGCTGCTGACCTGTATAAAGATTACTTTTTGAAACGCACTACAGCTTTCTCATTAAACATTTTGCTTTTGAAAACATGAATCAATATTCTTATCTCCATTAATATCATAAATGAAGTAAAATACTAAACATGAATATAAAATTTACAAAAAAACAAGCAAAAAAAATCTGAAATGTTTCAGATTTTAAATTACGTCCAAAGAGGCGTTTTTTTAACATTTTGTGTGTTACCTTTGTTTATTAATATCAAGTTCTTTGCACTTAACGTATAAAATTCAGTTCAGCAGCAATGCCGCAAAACAATTTTAAAATGAGTATGTCTTTAGATTTTACGGTGCATAATCTCGCGCGCTGGAGATAAAATGTTTTTCTGTACAACGTTGCCATTGCTCGCTTCGAAATCCTTGAGTTTGTTAATCAAAAATTCGTTAAAGTTTTATAAAATACGAAATCGATAATAAAACAAATTTCAAATTTAGGCTTTCAGATGCCCATATTCGCAGTAGGATTATATCATTCAAAACTGGATGGCTCTAGGTACCATCACATTGTTCCATCACAATGCGAGAAACATACATACATTTATGCAGAATCCTCATTATTTAATTTCTTTAAATATATTACAGGGCGATGGTATTGATGGCAACGATTTGAAAAGGGATACCGCTTTTTCAAATTTGCAACACAAAATCACAAAACGAAAACAGTAGTCCTTCAGGGACAAAGTCCCTTTGGGCTAAAATGGAAATGGCACTTTATTAAACCAAAGGAGCGTTAGACCAAAGGGGTATAAGTCTCAAAACGGCGTTTTGCGTCGTTTCACTTTCTGCGTTGATTCACTTTTCAAACTGTTGCCACCAAATGTTATCGCCATGTTTTATACTTAAGGAAAGTAAATAATGAAGAATCTGCATGAATGCAGCAATGTTCATCGCAT